TAATTTTCTTTATCTCTGTTTTTTTGAGGGATGAGATACTCTGAACTTCATAGGGCTGCAAGGATTAGAACAGCTGGTCCCAAGTCAGGCAAGATCACCAATGGATGCTAAAACTAATGAATGAAGTTTGAAGAAAAACAAAATATTTACATTGCCTCAGATTTTTACCCCACAAGATACTTATTAATTACAAAGGGGACAATGATAGAGGAGAAACCTGGCACCAACCACCTCAACCAAGTGATCAACCAAGTGATCAAAGTAACGTCGCTAGTTATAGAATCTAGAGCAATCTTAGTGCATTCCTGATTTGGTGCACTAAGAGGAACACAACTCATTTTTTCACTTGCCCCTTTTAACTTCTCTCACCAGTCGTGTCTCTGGATCAACCCAGCTATTTATATGTTACTATTGCTCTGGCAGCAACAGGAGGATGGTCTAGGAGAGAGGAGAATGGAATCTGAGATATTGATGATAATGATGACCAAGTCTGATGGGACTGATGCCTGCTCTGTGCCCAGTCTTCCTCTACAGGAATGTGTCCTTTATGAGCCAGTTCAAGAAACTTTCATTCCCCAGTCTCCTTCCATCTGCTATGTATCCCCCTAGACTCCTTTGTTGGGTCGCCTAAGCTCTCCTCGTCATCATTCCCCTCCCTAGTCTCATCTGTTGCCCCTTGGTCTCTTTTGTTGACCTCCCCACCCAGCTCTCTCTGTGATCCCCAGCTTTAGGGCATAACTATGATGTGAGCTGGTGTTGGAGTCAAGGAGCCAGGAGGATAGGGCATAGCTGAGTCTGTGAGCAGCCAGTGTGCTCTGTGGCCCTGAACTCCTCTATGAGCGGCAAACTGCAGCTTGGCCTCTCTTCTCTTCCCTCCACCATCCCTATCCCATTCTTGCCCAAGGTCTCATTATGCCTGCCACCCCCGCCCCAGCTACCCTCTCAGTGAACGCACTGCCAGGCTCATTATCAGACCTTTTCTCTAAGGGATGCCCAACAGTAATGGTGCCTGACATACCCCTCTCCCTGTAATACTCCCCACCTCTGAGTGAGCCCAGCTAGGCTTTGCCTCAGCCTCCCAGCCCTTTCCTGTAAATGCACTCACAGCCAGGAGGGGTGCCATGTTAAATCAAGAGTGATGGAAACCAGTGGCAGCGAATATCCAGCCAAGATGCAGCATAGGGAGCTGGTTGCTGCTGGCTCCAGGTGAGGGCTTCTGAAGTTAATTGTATATGGCTTTTATTAAGAAGATGATCACTCCCCCACTCCTGAGCTCCTGTGTGGCTTCTTCCAGTGCCTCTCAGCCCAGTACCCTCTGCTTCTGTAGGCTGGGTCACCTACACTTAGATTCCCTAGTGGAGCCCTGTTAAAGCATGACCTTGACCTTAGTCCCTGTAGTCTTCCTCCCCATTTCCTCAAAAAGCCAAGAACAATAGTAGTCCCTATTTATGAAACCCTCCCCAAGTGCCTTCTCCCATTCTCCTCTCTCCTCTTTCCCAAGAGTACATGCAGACCAAGTATTTTCCTTTTCTAGGTTCTTCCGCTGGCTTGCTTTTCACAAGCCTGGGCTCATATAGTTAAAAAGTCATTCAGTACATTTTTTTTTTTATACAAAGTCTGTGGTAAGCATTAGGAAAAGAAGATGAATCTGTAACATATCTGGTTTAATCTCAGTATCCTGTACATTTTTACCCAAAATTCTGCATTTTCAAAAGTTTTTCGGAATAGATATTTAGGGTTCCAGGCTGGTAGAGAATCGGGTCATGCTTAGATTTAGGCCATAGGTTAACTCTTTCCCAGGACTATCTGGAAAGCCCCTGAGAAACTACCCAAGTCACAATGTAACCTTTCCCCAGCCTGACCCCCATAGAAGTTAAGGACCCTTTCTCTTGCCCAAGAAAATAACAGGAATTCTAAGGTAGCCTAAAATCATGACTCTGAAGAAGAGTTACAGGAAGTAGAAATGTTTCCCTGGAGAAGACAAAGAGGCTATGAACATTGTACCCAAATCAACAAAGTGGTGACAAAGTCATGTTAGGCTTGGCATGCAGCAAAGGAGAAAGATATGTTCTATGAGGCCCCTCAGATCAATGGCGGAAGTCTGTACCACGTAAGGAAAACTGACAGGCAGAGATGAGCCATAGAAGGTGTACTCGGAACCCTGTTGGTATCGGGACTGCCCTGCTGGGCTCCTAGGGAAGGAATCAGGGCCACTTCCAGGGCGGTGGGGGCATCCACGTGGACTTAGCTCCTGGCTTCTATTTGAGCCAGAGCAACTCTTCTTTTTATGTACGGAACTTCATGCAGATTACATTATTTTAAAGAGTTTTAGTAAATAGAGTTCCAATCAATCAATCAATCAATGGCACTGGGTTACATAATCAGATATCAAACTGCAGTGAAGGAGAAGTAGCAATTATCAAAGGCCTCCTAAGGGCCAGCTACTGTGCTCTCCTCCACTTGAATCTCTTACATACCATTTCCTCATACACATTCACTGTGTACCAGATACTCTGCCAGGTGCTTTATATACACTTTCTCATTTAGTCTCCACCAACATCCCCAAGGATCCTGCGAGTTAGACATGAATACCAGCCTCATGTTAGAAATACTTTCAACAATAAAGGTTTTTGTTTTTGTTTTTAAATAAAATAGAGGAAACAAAAAAATAGGCTATGTATAAAATGCTGAGTACAGTGCATGGCGCACAGCAGCTAGTCCACAAATGGTAGTTCTCTCCTTCAGTTGGCATGTATTGACTCTTCCTGTGAGCCCGGCCCTGGGCTAAGTGCTGGAGCTATAGAGAAGAATACAACTTAGTCTTTGTCACTAAGAACTTTATGGATTAGAAAAGAGAGAAACAGGCCTGCCAGGGAGGCCTTACTTCAGTCAAATAAGTGCTCCTCGGGGCTTGCGGCAGGCAGGAAGCCTTACAAGAGGGTACTTAGACAATTCGGTATTGAAGCTGAGATCACCAAGGCACTTGGAGGTGGGTGGGAGTAGAGAGACTTCTGTGGTGAGGGAGCAGTGTGAGCAAAAGGCCTAGAAGTGGGGTTACCCATCACTGAGGAGAAGTGAGGAACCAGACCCAATAAACTAGTGGAGACCAGTTTCCATCACTTCGAGCTCCTTCCACAGTCTGCCCGATGGACTGTAAGCTGGCCAGTGGACTAGCCGGAAATGTACCAACCGGCCTGTGTGTATCTCACCATCAGAGCCTTCTAGCCTCGTGGCCGCGTGCTGAGAGGGACTGGGTGGGCAGGGAGGAGGAGGAGGCAGATATATGACTGGAGTCGTCAGAGCCAGGTGATGTATGTGGCGCCTGAGGGAGCTGCACAGTGACACTCTGGATTCCAACCGGCAAGTGTCGCTCCGCTGGGATCGGCGCCGAATTATTGCTCCACATGAAACCCCAGGACTGATGGGAGCTTTCAGTTACAGACTGATAGCAACAACCAAAATTGGATTGTTTGCTATTTATTTTTTTTAACTTCTGTCAAGGTCACTACCGTAACAGGAAAACACTGCCCAAGCAGCAGGTATTTTTCATCCACTCTGCCCGCAAGAGCAATCTGCAACCACAACTTTTGTGACAGCGCCTTACCTTGGCAGCATGCTTTCTAGAAACCTGTCAGTGTTGTAGAGGTCTGAGGGAAAGAGAGCCTCCTGAGTTCTCTACTCCAAGACCTGCTTTCTCTCCCTGTCCCCCAGCTGCCATAAGCGCTTTCTCGTGGTACCCAGGCACTCACCCTTCCCCCCTGTTCTGCAGAGTCCCACAACTTCCGCCTAGCCCATTACTCCTGCTTCTGCAAGCTTCCTGTCTCCCAGGAAGCCTCCACCCAAAAAATGTCCCACACTTTGTGTGTCCTTCACTTCTTTTTCTGTCCTCCTACACCACCCAGTCTAGCTGTTTGTTCCTCTTTATATTTGTCATCAGATTCATTTTTGCAGTCATTTACTAGGTGCCTCTGCTGTGCCAGGACTTCTGCTAGAATAGTGAGTGGAAAATAGTGCCTGCCCTCGGGGAGTTCATCACCAATTTTAGAATACAGGCTCGTACAACAAACTTGTTCTCAAGTAGTTGGAGGGGGTTTTTGTTTGTTTTGGGGTGGGGGGTGGTGAGGAGGTGGTAGTAAAAGGCATAGGGTTAGAACGGGCATGCATTTTTGAACTGTGAGGAAATTGGATGGTTCTGCCTGAGAAATATGTGTGCACAGACCCTGCCTCACCTCCCCCGACGGACTTTGAGCTCCTTGAGGGCAAGGCCTTGCTCTCCTCTTCTTCCTCAAAGTGTGACCAAGCTCAGGAGCTTCTGCCTTTACTGAAATGGACTGCGCTCAGGGCCAGCACATGCCTTGCATTCAGCATCACTAGAACCTCCCAGGGGGCAGAGCACAGTTCTCTTCCTTCTCCCCGACTCACCTTCCCATCCTGGGGCCCAGCACATAGCAATTGTTGAATAATTGTGTTTCATTGAAATGCAGTATCATTGAAGTGGAAGGTGTTCATAGCTCTGGTTTGAAAACCAAAAAGGTTTTCAAGAGAATAAGTGGAAAGAATATTTGCTGAGCACTTACTACATGCCAGCCATGATGCTAAGCACATTATATATATCATCATATTTAATCCCTCGTTGAAAGATAAAACTGAGGTGAAGTAACTTGCTCCAGGTGGTAAGCACATTTTGTAAGTGATAAATCTGGGATTCAAACCCAGGTCTTCTGTCAGACTTTAGAATCAAGGGTTAATTTAGTAGGAGTACTTACTTTACTAGTTGGGCTGGCCAGCACTCTGGGCAGTGGCCACCTGAGGTAAGGAGATGGATGAGGAGTAGAACTGGAGGACTGAGGGAGGACGAGCCCCCAGGGGTCATAAGCCAGAGCTGTGAATCCTGACCCCTGGGGAGCCAGGCCTGTGTTTTATCCCTTAGGTCAGGGATAGAATAAAACTAAGATGCTGCTGGGCCCGGACTCCTAAGCACCTTTGCTCTCTCCCCACAGTACCAGGAGAAACAGCGGAAGCGTGAAGCTGAGGAGCGGCGCCGATTTCCACTGGAGCAGCGGCTGAAGGAGCACATCATTGGCCAGGAGAGTGCCATTGCCACAGTGGGTGCAGGTGAGTATGGGAGAGGCTAGCAGTGAAGTGCACATCTGCTGTCACCATAACCGTATTGCATATTGTAACAACACTTTTTAACATACTTTCTATGTGCCGGGCATTGTAATAAGCTCTTTGCATGTGTTCTGTCATTTAATCCACCCTTACTGTGAGATTGGTACCATTAAATCCCCATTTTACAGATGAGGAAGCTGAGTCACAGAGCACTTAAATAACTGCTCAAGGCTGCTTTTCCTGTGTTTGCAGTTTAACTCTGACCTTCATCTGGTCCACTATTCCCCATGTCCCTATTTTTCAGGTGAGGAAACAGACCAGAGAGGAATGGGAGCTTGTTCATCACTAGTAATGTAGCAGCTGAGTCAGAACTAGAACTTTTGTCTTTTGCCACTGCCTCAGTTTTAGATAAAACATCCTGAACAAGTCTTGAGTGCTTTTTTCTTCACCTCAGAAGCTCTTTTGCCCCATACTTTGACCCCTGGGAGTCAGACTGCTCACTAGTATAACCCCTAATCTAATAGCCCTCCTGCCCATGCCGACCCCACTGGGAAGAAATATAGGACTAGGGTCTGCTAAAGATGATGGCCTCCCCTTGTTTTCTGACCCAGATACATGGCTCCCTGAGGTGATAGCAAGGGCAGTGGAACCCAAGCCCAGCTTAGAAAAGGGGACGTCCCCAAAGGCAGTGGCTCTCAAAGCATGGTCTCTGAATCAGTATCATCAACATCCTCTGGGAACGTGTTAGAAATGCAGATCTCGCCGAAACCCGTTTGGCTCAGTGGATAGAGCGACGGTCTGGGGACTGAAAGGTCCCAGGTTCTATTCCAGTCAAGGGCATGTAACTTGGTTATGGGCACATCCCCAGTAGGGGGTGTACAAGAGGCAGCTGGTCGATGTTTCTCTCTGATCGATGTTTCTAGCTCTCTATCCGTCTCCCTTCCTCTCTGTAAAAAATCAATAAAATATATATTTTTTTAAAAGAAAAGCAGATCTCTAGCCTCACCCCCGACCTAAAGAATCAGAAGCTGGAGATAGAACACAGCAACCCATGTTTTAACAGTCCCTGCTGGTGATTCTGATGCTCAGCTCAAGTTTAAAAACTGCCCCGTGTCTTGGTCAGTCCCACTCTCATGTTGCTGCCTCTTCTCTCCAAGTATTTGGTGGCAGCAGATGCAGTCCAGCAACTGCCAAAGAAAGTACCAGGTCTCACTGAGAAAGGAGACATCAGGCTGAACTTGTGGTGCCCCTCTGGGATATTCTGGGGTGGCATTTTCAGTGCTAGGAAACCAGTTAGAGGAGTAATTGAAAGTGAAAGTGGTTGTCCCTGTGACACAGCCCAGCCTGATCTCCATCATTCTCACGCATACCAGTGGGACTCGTGTGGTTGCCATGAGCCCTCTTCAGGGGCCCGACCTTATCAGCAGATAAGTGTCTAGTGCCTGGCTGGGGTTGCTCAGTGGTTAGGCGTCAACCCATGAACCAACAGGTCCAAGGTTCGATTCCTACTCAGGGCACATGCCCAGGTTGCGGCTCGATTCCCCAGTAAGGGACCATCAGGAGGCAGCCAGTCAGTGATTCCCTCTCATCATTGATGTTTTTATCTCTCTCTCCCCCTCTCTTTCTCTCTGAAATTAATAAAAAACATTTTAAAATTTTAAAAATAATAATAAAGTTGCCTTTAAAAAAATAAGTGTCCCAGTGATCAGAGCTGCCTCACAACTAGATGTCAGAAGGCTGCCTGCTGGCATACACAGGAGCCAGGGAAAGTTTTTAAATATATAAGGCCCCACTGCTCAGGCGCAAACCTCACCAAGCTGCCCTCCACCTTCAGCCACCACTCTAGAGGTGGCAACCTCCCACTTCTTTGCCAACATCGTATGAAGTGGCAGGACAGGAGATGCTGGGAGCTCTCAGGGTTTGGAGAGAGAAGGAGTAGCCTAAGGAGAAATAGATTACCTAGGCAGAGATCTAAGAGAGCATCTCTTGCTGGAGTCTCCTGTGCATTTGGGCCAGAACTGCAGCTGCCATCCTAGTATTTTCCCTCTGCTTCTGACATGGCCCTTTCCTAGCATGCTGCCTGCTCCTCTGACCTCTTGCTTCTCACCAGCTTTTCAAGCTCATAAGATAGGAAGCTCCCAGAAGTAAGTGTTGGGAGAAGAGAAGGACATTGTGATAGGAAGACTTCAACCAACGTGGGCTTGAATAGCAGGTCAGCAGGTACCAGCTGTGTCACTCAGGACAGTCACTTAGCTTCTCTGAGTGTCAGTTTTCTCACCTGTGTACTGGGGACCAGATCCAGACAGCCTGATTCTAAAGCACATGCTCTTTCCAATGTGTGCCAGGCAACACTGAATAAAACCTAGTTCCTGTCCTTAAGATGTTGACTATCTAGGGATGGGCACTGTGCTCTGTAGTTCAAGACCACAGCTGTTTTCCTTCAAACTGGGACTGACCCTTAGCTCCCAGCCCCAGGCTGGTGTCTTTCCCTAGTCCTACAGAGCTCTGCTGCCCACCCATCTGCCTCCCCTTGAGTGCACCCAAGCAAGAGTAGATGATTCAGCCTCTCACCTCCGAAGGGCTGTCAAAATGTCTGCCCTGAATTCTTTCTTCTATCCAAAGCTCCATTCTGTCACCTTAAATCTGCCTCAGGTCAGGAAGGCCCTGCTTCATGTCCTGAGGTATGTAAGTTGACCCTGTAATGGTCTTACTGATTCCAGAAAAGACTAGAGGCCATTGGAGCCTAGTCTCTGGGACTGGTAAGTCATCAACTCCATTTGTAAGGCAGTAACTATGTGCCCACCTTACTATAAGCCCTAAGGCTGGGGATCACAGTGACAATGGCCAGATAATGTCCAATTACCCACCCAGGTAGAGCCCGAGGCTCTCTCTGGGTCAGGTTTGTGGTAGGCAGGCAACAGTGCCTCAGGACCTCAAGACTGAAGGAGGTGCAGAATGGGAGGCAGATGTAGAGGCTAGGCCAGGCCTCCCTGGGTCCTCTGGGTTAGTGTCACATGTCTGCTAGGGACTAGCTGGGTGGACCCTGGCACCCAGGGTACCAGAGGCTGGGCAGCCAGAGAAGTGCCGCAGAATGAATTGATTTGATAAATGGCCATTTATTACCCTCTCGAATTGGCTGAAACCAATTTCGGTCACATCAACCCCTGGTAAGTGCTGGGATATTGATTTGTGCAAAGTAATACAGTGAATTTATCAGTGTGATCCCCAGCTGCAGGGCTTTTCTAGCAAGGCTGGCGCGCACTTACCACCTTACAAATGGTGGAGCTAACGCACCAGCCCCACAGCCCAGAACCTATGGCCTCTCTGGTCTTCTAGGGTCACTGGAGCCAAAGCAGGGCCAACCTACATACCATAAGCCAGAGGCTTGGCATTGAAAGCAAGGCTTTCCTTCCACAATCCAGAGCTGTTCCTGGTCATGGGGTAGGTGAGGATGCTCTGTCGGGCAGACCTCCTGGGAGTTCAAGAGCCTCTGTTTCCCACCATCCTCTAGAAAGGCAACTCTGTTCAGCACATTCAGCGCTAGACTCCACTCCCCTCCTCCAGCCTGCCCGCCTCCTGTGTTCCTGTCTCAGTAAAAGCACTGCCTAAATAACACTTGGAATTTTTGTTGGCCCCTTCCTCTCTCATCAAATATCAAGTTCTATCATTCTGTCTCTTACATGCATCTCAAACCTGGCCTCTCTCCTCTGTTCTTAATACCACTGCTCCAGCTCAACATTTGAAAGATACAGTAGCCGCCTTGCTGGCCTCTGCTTCCTTTTCTTCCGGTATAATCGCCTCTTCCCACAATTTTCATAGCCACGTTCATTTAAAAGATACAGGCATTACCCTAACTGGTTTAGCTCAGTGGGTAGAGTGTCCACCTACGGACTGAAAGGTCCCAGGTTCGATTCTGGTCAAGGGCATGTACCTTGGTTGTGGGCACATCCCCAGTAGGGGGTGTGCAAGAGGCAGCTGATCGATGTTTCTCTCTCATCAATGTTTCTAACTCTCTATTCCTTTCTCTTCCTCTCTGTGAAAAATCAATAAAATATATATTTTTAATTACTTAGAACCAAATATTAAAATAAATAAATAAATAAATAAATAAATAAATAAATAAATAAAATATGTGTATCTAAAAATAAAATAGAGACCTTGCCCTGGCCAGTATTTCTCAATGGTTAGAATGTCAGCTGCTCACTGAAGAGTTGTGGGTTTGATTCCCAGTCAAGGGCACCTACCTGGGTTATAAGTTAGATCCTCAGCCCTGTTTGGGCACATGCAGGAGGCAACCAATCAATGTGTCTCTCTTCCCCTTCCTTTCTCTCTCTCTAAAACTCAATTGGAGGGGGAGGGTTGCTATACTCAATTGAGGATTTACAAAACAAAACAAAAAAAGACCCAGACCTTATTTAGGTTTTTTGTAGGTGCCCCAGCACCCATCGCAGAGTTTATTTTCTGAACAAATGGGTAAGCTCCCAGAGAGGGATTAAGAAGAGAGCAGGAGCCTTTTCACCCAGGGGTAGTAATAACTACTTGGAGCCATAGGAGACTCTTAGATCCAGGCCTCCCTCTTCTCTGTAAAATGGGCATAAAGTACCTGTTCTTTCCTTCGTATAGTTCCAGAAAGAGCAAAGATTAATTTGTTTAGTCCTCAAGCATTGCGCCACTTGTTAGGCTATTCCCAAATGTCCCTTTGGAAATGTGACTCTGGCACCTGCTCCACGGAATGCACAGTGAGATCAGAGCACACCCCACTCCTGGATACGAAGGCACAGGTGATGAAGCCTCTTACACTGTCCCTCTCTGAGCCCATTCTCCTCTTCTGCAAAATGAAGATAATACCTGCTTCTCCTTATTCTTAGGAGGAAAGAGATATCTATGAAATAACCAAAGCTGCAGTGGTTACTTCTGCTGCTGCATTATGACTGCCATTATTTTTACTCTTATTTCACTTCTTGCAACTTACAGAATGCTTTCATAATCATTACCTCATTTAATCTTCATGTGGGGTTGACTCAGCATGTATTGTATTCCTATTTTATAGATTTAAAATATGAGGCTCTAAAGGAATAAGTGTCTTACTCAAAGTCAATCAACTAGTGAGTGGCAGAGTCAAGGTTCCAAACTAGTTCCTGTAACTCCTGCCTTCTCCACCTACCACCCCATAGATGAACACAGATAGAGAATACCGACCCCAGGAGTGGGATGGTGGAGTTCACCAGAAAGAGTTGTTGCAGGTAACTTTTAAGATGGTCCAGTAGTGATGGACATGGCCAGGAGCAGGTGATCTGGTAGGAAGAACCCAGCAAGGAGGCACTGGTACTGGTCCTGCTTGCAGGAATGAGACCAGCCAATAAAGGGGAACCTGGCATCATCTCATGCCCAAGAGCAGAGGTCAGGGGACAGGGGCTCATGAAACCCTTGTTGAATGGCTGCTAGAGCCAGACAGTTGTCCAGGTGAGGCAAGGGTATGAGGAGATCCTTGGCTGAAGCAAGCCAACTCCTTTCCCTCAACTCCTCAAAAGACAGCCAGAGCTGGGGTAAACCCAGCATCTCCATTCATTTACCTGTGTAACCTTGAGCAGGTTACATAACTTCTTTGTACATATTTCCTCATCTATAGAGTTCCCTGCCTCATCGGTTCATAAGGAGGCTCAGTGAAGTTATGTCTACAGAAGTTCTTTAAAGATTGTGAAGTGTTAGCAGAGTGAGATGCTGCCTTCAGTTATTCACAATGAAAGTGCCAGTATCTACGTGGGCCTGTTCAGGTCTCTGTCTGTCCCAGCCTCTGTCCTGTACCCTGACAGGACCCTCCAGGCTCCCAGCCACCCTGCCTACCACACCTCCTGGTGCCCACCTTCCTCAGTCCTTCCTAGCTGCTTCCATTTTTCATTCTGTCGGACACCATCTGCTTGGTCGTTTTTCTCTTCAGATATTATTAGAAATATCCAGAGTTGTAATTGTTTAATGGTTGGCATTTCGCCTGTTTCACAGGGGCCCCAGATCAAGTCCACCCCAGACTCATGCCCTCGGTCTGGCAGAATTGACCAGTGACAGCTGTGCAGGGGTCTGCCTGGCATTATAAAGAGCTTTCTCTCAGGTGCATTATTAGAAAAGAAGGAGAAAAGAAGGCCGCAGGCACAATCCAATTGCACATTCTCCACCGTGTGTTAGAACTGCATCGCCCTGGAGTGTGCAGCTCTCGGTGGGCTGGACAGCTTCCCTGAAAGAGAAATCCAGATCAGAACCTCAGGTGCATGATACCTGGGAGCCCCTGCTCCCACCCCAGGCCGCCTAAGTCATACCTGGACACTTCCTCCTCTCCAGATACCCCATGAAGCCTGAACTCAGCTTATGATCAGCTTCTTTTCAACCTAGATTCTCAATTCAGCCATTTTGGAGAAGAATTTGACTCCTTTCAGATGATCCCTTTCACCACCACCCCAACAGACATCCACACCTAGTGTTTGCAAAAGTCTAGCCTTGCCATTTTATAATATCTCTACCTCTCCGAATATCCCTACCCCTGGATTTTTGTTTTATTCAGGACACTTGGGGACTCTCTCTCAGCAGGCTTGGCCTTCTCCCCTTCATCTTCAGACTTCAGGTACCCGTGAGGCCCCGGGGTCCCCGGAGAGCCAGGCCTTACAGAACACCGGGCCAGTTAGTTTAGTGATGCCTTAGACCTGACCCAGGAAAAAGATTGGGTGGCGTTTTCTCGGGCCCCTCAGCAGCTCCCAGGCAGGCAAAGTGGCCAATCTGATGTCCATGGGTCACACAGTTTCCCCCTATTTCTGCTGAGGCCAGAACTACCAAGTATTTGAAGTAGCAGCATTAGAGATTGGCCTAAAAATGACCACAGCATTAAAAAAAAGAAAAAATAAAGAAAGACCACAGCATGGACCTGAGCTCCTACTATTTGAGACCTTTGTAATCTGATCCCACCCACCCTCTCATGTGTGTTCCTGTCTCTTTACTTCTGTCATGTTGGCCACCTTTGCTCTCGAGATCCTACCCAGCCTCCATGGTACATTATCAGTCCCACTTCTCCAGAAGCCTTCCTTGGCTTCTGCAGCCGCTGCCGCTGCTGCTGCCGCTGCCGCTGCCGCTGCCGCTGCTGCTGCTGCTGCTGCTGCTGCTGCTGCTTCTTCTTCTTCTTCTTCTTCTTCTTCTTCTTCTTTTCTTTAATATATTTTATTGATTTTTTACAGAGAGAAAGGGAGAGGGATAGAGAGCTAGAAACATCAATGAGAGAGAAACATCGATCAGCGCCTTTTGCACACCTGCTATCAAGGATATGCCAGCAACCAATGTACATGCCCTTGACCAGAATCGAACCTAGGACTATTCAGTCTGCAGACTAATGCTCTATACACTGATAACCAGTTTCGGCTACAGCCACTTCTTTGAAACCCAACCATATGGATCATACCACACAATAATAGTATTTAGGATCTTTGCACCTCAAGACTGGCAGACACATCCCTAAGGCCATCAACTCTTTTTTTAGCTGACTTAGTTTCTGGGTCTTGTCCTCTGACATATATCCCTTTGCTAATCTCCCCCTGATTCTCTGGGAACCAGAACATACATGCTGTTCCATCTGCAAACTGACCTTGACATTGCATAGTGCTCTGTCCCCTCCTGCTCTGACTGCCATGTAATCATTAATGTAACCCAAAGTGATGCTTGCTTTTTTAAGCAGCTCTATGTGACACAAAAGGACCAGTTTAGAGAAAGAAGCAAGTCTTCCATCTCTGCCAGTCAACTAGTAATCTAATTGTGTAACATAGGCAAATCTCTTTTTCTATTGCCTCGGTTTCCTGTTCAGAATAATGGAGCTGAGAATTTCCTCTTGGAAATTTTTTTTTCCTTGAAAATATATTTTTTATTGATTTCATAGAGAAAGTGAGAGGGAGAGAGAGATAGAAACATCAAAGATGAGAGAGAATCATTGGCAGCTGCCTCCTGGATGCCCCACGCTGAGAATTGAGTCCACAACCCGTGCATGGGAACCGAACTGTCACCTTGAGGTTCATAGGTAGACTCTCAACCACGGAACCAACCCAGCTGGGCATTTGTGGAAATTCTTTATGTAGGTTGTGAGTAATAAAATGTTAGTGGCTGAAACCGGTTTGGCTCAGTGGATAGATCGTCGGCTTGGGGACTGAAAGGTCCCGGGTTCGATTCCGGTCAAGGGCATGTACCTTGGTTGCGGGCACCTCCCCAGTATGGGGTGTGCAAGAGGCAGCTGATCGATGATTCTCTCTCATCATGTTTCTAACTCTCTATCTCTCTCTCTTACTCTCTGTATAAAATCAATAAAATATATAAAAAAATAAAAAATAAAAAAATAGATAGACAAGTATACCTATCTTTCAACATTTAATTGATCACATATTTTTTTTAAAAAATGTTAGTGATTTTTTCAACTGTGCCTAGTAGATAGTATGTTCAATAATGGTTCATTTTCTGATAGTTCTGCCTCCTGCTTTTATACTTGAGGATGCTTCCGAGTCTGATTCTTCCACTCTGTACTTGGGCATGTAACTTCCTTACCTTAAATGCACAGCCCTTCATTATATACTTCCTCCTGGAGAGGAGAGGTCAGGTCTGGTTCTAGCAGAGCTGCTCCCCTAAGGAACCGAGTGCAGATCTATCCCATTCCCCCATCTCTGTCCTCCCCCAAACCCCTGGAGGCATGGTTAGTGGAGATGTTAACCAAATGGCTCACCCTTTCATGCCCTGAGCTCTGCTACTTAACTGGCTTCCAGAAAGTGCATTTGACTGTATTTCCAGACAGCAGACCAGACCTTGGTTTTCCCAAATGGGAAAGAGTCCAGAGCTCACACCCCCATATCTCCAGGGCCTGCTGTGGGCTTCTGCCTCTCCCATTTGCGTTGGAGGCAGGCTGCGTCTCCCTGGTTAAGTGGTTAAGTATTGTAGATGGGTAACCAGCTAAGAGCTAAAGTTCCTCTCAAATTCTCCTTCACCAACCCCCAGCCCCCTTCACCTCCATTCACCCGCCTTTCAGTTTCCCTGGCAACGCTGAGTGCTCATCCTGGAAAACTTTATCCGAAATCTGCTCTGGGCAGCTTTCCAAATCCATGCTAACCTGATTAGGTATCTCTAGGGGCCTTGCTAGCTAATCAGATTAGGCAGCACTAATGGTAGTGAGGACTTTGAGTGGGCGCAGAGCAGTAAAACATATTGTATACTTAGTGATAATTATCCTGCCTTTTGTGTCATTGATTTATCTGCCTCTCTCCCCATCCCCTGTCTTGTGTGTTGGCCCTAGCGATCCGGAGGAAGGAGAATGGCTGGTATGACGAAGAACACCCTCTGGTTTTCCTCTTCCTGGGATCATCTGGAATAGGTAATGGGAGCAGATCAGCTAGGAGGAAGAGGAGCGTGGGGAGCCTCTGCTGCTGTGGGCCAGGGTCAGGCCACCCACCTCTAGTTCAACTCCAGCTCCCCATACAACTGCCTCCAAATTACAGAGCCAGCAAGAGGGTCATCTGTCACAGCAGGAATAGCTGGAAGGATGCCCCTCCCTCTGGAAGCCTGGGTGCAGGGTCTAATTCACCTGGAGGGCCAGGCTCTTCGTAGCCCTGCTCCAACCACTCTGCATCCCCTGAGGCTGGCCTTTGGGTACAATTAAACCAGCTGCACTGCCCAGCACATCAATCTTATTCAATATAACCTGAGACATAACCTGCTAGGAATCTAAAGAAAGTCCCTGAAGACCAATTCAGTGCTGGGTGCATAGCAAAACTGGCTATAGTAAAATGAGTTGGGTATTTTTCTAACCAGTTAGGCTAAGCCATTCTGGCTTAGGCATTCTTACCCCTCACTCTCTGCCCTCGCAGACTCTCCAGCTCCACCACCATCTGCGTTGACTTGATGGGGAATTACATGCATTTTGTTGCCTCCTCTTTCCCTCAGCATTTTTGTGGGCTTACTCTCCCTCAGATAAAGGCTCCAAAAAGGTTACCACCACCTCACCATGATACTATAGGACTTGACTTTCTATCTAGACAGTGACTTTCAAAGGCTTGACCATCCTACCAAATGGCCCTTCAGAACCACCACTTTGGTAGTGTCATTCTTTCTTTATATTACAAAGTCTGTGAAGCCAAGGAGAGGTGCCCTCCCTATCTCTAGTTGGTCTGAGGCTCCAGGCCTGTAGGATGGCAAGATCATGGGTGTCTAGAGAGCATGCAGTGCAGTGAGCCAGGAGGCAGGGTGCTCCTGGAGGAGCAAGGTATGTGCTGAGCTTCAAAGGACAAGTTGGCTCTGAATTATGAGTCAGCCTTCCACTCTTAGGATGTTGCTATGGAGAAAAGCCTCAATCCCCATCCATGAAAAATCAAGGTGCAATTCAGATTTTGATTCTGGTCCCAGCTTCATTCACCTTTAATTCCCTTGGTGACTTAGAAAGAGTAACTGACCCTCTCCGAGACTCAATGTTTCCATCCATAAAACATTATTTTCAGCGTCCATACTTTTTTTTAATATATCACTCTAAGGGATAGTTATCTGGTCCTAACCCAGTTTCTCTCCCTTCTTTCTTACTAGGAAAAACTGAGCTGGCCAAGCAGACAGCCAAATACATGCACAAAGATGCCAAAAAGGTAAGAGCTGGGACCTAGGCCTGATCTTCATGTCATGGAGACTTGCCACTCCTGCTAACCCAAAAACCCTAGACTCCCTGAATCTGGCACTAGCCAATCAAAGATAGGCTCTGGTTCTGGCCGGTAAGGTTCAGTTGGTCAGAGTATCTTCCCATATATGGTTCTCTCCCTCTTCCTTCCCCTGCCCACCAGTGGTGGGTGCCCATGACCCTAGGTGCCCTTGCCTCATTTCTGTGGAAGGCCTCCCCAGCTGAGGTGATAAGAATCGCTCAGACCTTGCCAGCCAAACTACCCCAGCATCAGGGCCCTGGGCACCTCCTGTCCTTTTGGCCTAGCTGCCCCTTTGCCACCTTCCTGAGGGCCCGGCAGCTCAGGCTGTGTCCTGAGCTGCATCCATGGTCTCCTGCCTAATAACTGGCTCAAGCCTTCTCCGCCTCCATGGCTCTGCTAGTAGCTACGCTTTGCCTCAGCCAAACCCAGAGCAGACCCACTTGACAGGCAGGCAGGCAAGACACAGCACATGACGTGCTAATATGCTCCAACTGAAATAACATTTTTAAGACAATTTATCAGGTTGGCAGCGATTGAAACAATTAGCACTCTGGAAAGGGCCATAAACTAGCAAGACTATTAGGGAAGACGCAGTTACAAGCAGGAACCACCTGATTAGGGATGAAGAATTCTGAGTGTTTTAATTTTAATACTGTCAGAAAGGTTAATATTTAATTACAAATTATAATCTCCTTATCCAAGCTGTCTTAATGTGTCTTCATACACAGTGGAAGAGAAGGAAAGTATCTGCTGATTGCCAGTGTAGAAAGGCGAGGGGGCTTGTGAAAAGACTGATGATGCAAGTCATTATTCAGTTGGAGCATCTCTTCAGTTGGAGGCATATTTACAACATTGCAGGGTGTTCTGATGGCACCTTTCAATGCATGCCTCACCCAAAAGGAAGTAACGCCATCACCCGCTGGAGGCAGTGGGCTGGGTGGTCCAGGTTCTGGAGCCAGTCATTTCTTGGCACAGGTTCCAATTCTATCTGTCAGGTTACTTTATCCCTGTACAATTCAGCTCTCTTGTCTCAGAGTGAGACTATTTAGTACTTTGTTTGAGGTTGTCAGAGCATCAAATGAGCTCAGGCGCTAGCACATAGTAAGTGCCTATTCCCTTGTCTCGTATTTATTCATCACCTCATATTTTCTACATCAGTACCCCATTGACTGTTTTATTTGATCTTATGAGGAAAATGGCACAGATGCTAAATCAGACCCACTTTTCAGATGCAAAAAATGACCTATGGCATTACGGGGTCTGTCCAAGGTCAGTTGTTAAAGGAAGAAGTAAAATCAGAATCCAGACTCTCAACGTTTTGTTTTTAATTTCAGAGAGGAAAGAGAGGGAGAGAGAGAGAAGCATCAATGATGAGAGAAAATCATTCATTGGTTCCCTCCTGCACACCCCCACCAGGGATCAAGGTCCCAACTCGGTCATGTGACCTCCTGGTTCATAGGTCAATGCCCAACTACTGAGCCACTCCAGCCTGGCCCTTATGATGTTTTTAGAGTGTACAAGGAGGGGTGGACATCATTGTGAGAAAGACAGATCTATTGGCCGCCTCCTGCAGTGCCCCGATTTGGGCCATGGATTGAATCTATAACCCAGGTATGTGCCCTTGACTGGGAACCAAACCTGCTACCCTTTGGTACATGGGCTAATGCTTTAACCACTGAGCAACACTGGCCAGGGCTAATCTCTCAACTCTCAATATCATTGTTCTCACATGCAATAGGAGGCTAAATTGTAAACATGTCATTTTGTCCCTATGATGCATCAGAAGATGAGGAGCATGAGAATCCTGTCATATTCATGTGTTTTATTTTTGAATCATAGGTAGTGCTTCTGCAGAACCCCTGATTACAGAATTTATGTTTAGCATAGACTTTATATGGCCATGTAATTAGGCATATTTAAGACCTTCAAAATCTAGGTGCCCTGGACAGTAAGCTATCTGATACCTCCAGAATTCAACGAGTGGTGTGTAGGAAGTGTCACATATAGGTAGAGCTCATTTTAAATTGGCCTGACAAATTAAAATGAGCACTGGCTTGGTTGGTGACTTGAATTCAAGTTCTGGCTTTCGGATCCTTAGTTGCTTCATTTGTAAAAAGTTACTCATAGCTCTAGACCTGGCTGCATCCAAGGCATTATTTGCACATTTTTTATAATTTTTTTTATCAGGTCCATATCTTATTTTTTCATTAGCCTCTACCATTCCTCCCAAATTGAGTGGTTTTATTAACTCCCATTATTAGGGTTAATAATCCTTGAGAAAAAACCTTAATGCTTTTCCGTGATCTCATCCTAAAATAGAGTGGAGGAGACATAAAGACTTGCAGTTATAGGGCAGAATGACAAAGAGGACAGAACACAAATCTGAGTCCACCTGCCTGTATTAAAATCCCAACTCTAAACTACTCTGTGGGGTTGGCTAGGATCTCAGTTTACATCAGTTTTCTCATCTGCAAAATGGGTTCAAAAATGGTGCCCAGCTCACTGGCTTATTATGAATGTTAATAAGGTGAAATAAAATGATAGCACCTGGTAAGCAATCAATACATGTTGGATATTACTATCATTATCTTTGCCTTACTTCTAGATAACCCTAAGCTAAGCTCATATGAAACCAAAATTATTCCAGTCAAGAAAATCAAGCCCTGAGGCTTGTTCAAATTTTCTTAACAATTTAGTAGAGCAACTAGGGTGAGAATCCAGATGACTTGACATAAGTAAGCCCTAGTCTATACTCCCAGTATCCTGGGACATTGATATCTAGGCACAAAACTCAGAAGCCTCCAGATGAGGACTGCCAACAGCCCAACAGATTGACAGAGCCAGAAATATGAGGCAGTAGAATAAATGGCTAAGAGTGTAGACTTGGAGCCAAATTGTCAAGCTTGAGTAACCTTGGGCAAGTTACTTAATCTGTGACTCAGCTTTGTCATCTGTAAGATGGGGATGATAATAGTGCTTACCTCATAGACTTGAAAATGTTGTGAGCCCTTTATAACTTGCCAGGCACGTAGTAAGCACCCATAGTGAGTAACTGAGTTATTATCAGATAGCCATGTGATGGCTTCCAGCCCGTTGCTCCCTCTGGGCAGCACTCCCAGCTTCCCCGGGTCCATCCTCCCACCCTTCCTGAAGCTTGTTTCTCTTGGCTGAGCTGTCTGGGGCCCTCTGAAAATGCTTGCTGGCTAAGCCCCATGTGCTCAGATAGCAGGGATCACACACACACACACACACACACACGATTTTAATAACTCTCCCAGGCCTTACCCACCCTTGGGTTAGGTCCTCTCCTCAGGCCCTGGTGAGACTAGGAGAGGAAACAGGGCCTGTGTTACACAGGAAAATCTATAGCTCAAAAAGGGGAGGCAACGGCCCTAAGGCCACACAGATTGTGGCAGAACTGAGACTAGAAGCAGGCCTCTAGGGCTCTTTCTGCCACCCTGTACCTTGGGTACAGAGTGACAGGACAGAGAAAAAACTAGAAGTACATCGCTGAGTGAATTTCAGACCAAAGACCGAGCTAGAATAGGCCTGCATTTCAAATATAGCCACTACCCTCCTAGGGCCTTGTCATCCCTCATCCCCAACTCTCAAGAGACATGAGGTTAGTGTGTGTGCTCTCTCAGACAGGAGCACGTGCCATCAAGAGAGGAGCCTAGCCCTAAACGGTTTGGCTCAGTGGATAGAGCATTGGCCTGCAGACTGAAAGGTCCCAGGTTCGATTTTGGTCAAGGGCATGTACCTTGGTTGCGGGCGCATCCCCAGTGGGAGGTGTACAGGAGGCAGCTGCTCGATGTTTCTCTTTCATTGATGTTTCTGGCTCTCTATCCCTCTCCCTTCCTCTCTGTAAAAAAAATCAATAAAGTATATATTTTTAAAAAAAAGAGAGGAGCCTAGGGAGAGTGTGGGAAACCCTGGATGGGTGGAGAGATGGCCTTTATAACTCCCTAAATTCTTCATGAAAAGGAGTGTGCCCTCTGCCTGTGTTGACTCACAAATGCCACACTACTCAGTGTTCTCTTCCGGGGCTAATCATGGTTAGGCCTCACCCCAGGGGATCACTTCCTTGGAAATCACCGCTAAGCCCAGCAGTGGTGAGAGAAAGGCTGCAAGCCATGTTATGGGTGACTTTAGGTTAACTGAAGAAATGTAAATAAATAAAAAGATTTATTTAGAAGAAGAGGACACTAAAAGGGCATGTGCCCACAATGACTTGCAAATGTGAGGCCACCAGGCAGCTGTCGAGTTACGTGTTGCCCCCCTCCATGTCAATTACGATCCACGCTGATTGTGATTGACTTCGTCCATGTCTGCCCACCCTACTCAACAGGTGCCCCTCAAGGACAGAGACCAAGTCTTGCTCACTGTTGTAGCTCCAGTGCCCAGCACACTCGGATACCCTCAGGAAATGTGGAATGGATGGGAGAACGGGAGGTTGGGTGGATGATGTGGTAATCAGACCAGTAGAGGCCTGCCCGGGAAAAGAGACATTCTGGACCATATTTAGGACAGGGACATGACTTGGTTCGTTAAGGTAGGGAATGGAATCATGTAGGGACTGAGTGGACAGAAAAAGAGGCAAGGAGCCAGGAAGAACATAGAAGAATTGGCTAGAAGATCCTGAATTGGTGTGGTCTGAAAGCTTGTGGGTATTTGCCTTCTTGCCGATTGGACTCCTGCTTATTTCCACACAGGGCTTCATCCGGCTGGACATGTCTGAGTTCCAGGAGCGGCATGAGGTGAGAGTCCTCGGGGAAGTGTGGTTTGGAGGGCTGAGAATTTTGATGTGGCTTGTCATTTGGGCCTGAGATAATTCCAGCAGCCTTGGGATTTGTCCTTTGGGGACATATGTATGCAGCAGGGTCACTGACCTATTTGCATGAGATTTGCTCTGAAGAATAAGCATAGAAAAGATCTATCTGCTCTCCCATCATAGCAGGATTCCTGCCACCCTAGGATTCAGCCTGACACTCCTTGTTGAGATAAGTTGTCTTAACATTGTATGTAAAGCCATCTTCTTGTGTTTGCCCCAAATTGGAAACTCAAAGCATGGAAAGGCCTTTGTAACATGTTTCCTTCCTTCCCCTAGGTGGCCAAGTTTATTGGGTCCCCACCAGGCTACATCGGCCACGAGGAGGGTGGCCAACTGACCAAGAAGCTGAAACAATGCCCCAATGCCGTGGTGCTCTTTGACGAGGTGGACAAGGCCCATCCAGATGTGCTTACCATCATGCTGCAGCTGTTTGATGAGGTGAAATGGGCCGGAATAAGGCTGAGCTGTCTGGGGCCCTCTGAAAATGCTTGCTGGCTGAGTCCCATGTGCTCAGATAGCAGGGATCACCCTGTGTCACACAGAAAAAACTATAGCTCAGAAAGGGGAGGGAGGCGGTGTACCTAAGGCCACATAGATAGTGATGGGATTCTGCCACATACCCATAGGTATGAGGGTCTGTGAGCCGTAGGAACCAAGGGCCCAGAGGCCAGTCAGATAATTCCTCAACCTGCTGCTCCCCCATGTGTACATTGGGGCACTTAGCAGATGTGTTTTCAGCCCCTCTCTGGACTAAGACCCAGGCTAGGCATCAAGGGAAGGCCAGCATTGCCCACGAGTAGAAATTTTGCCACTGCCCAGACTGCCTTCCAGAGAGACAGAGAGTGGGGCAGAAGTGCCAGGAGAGAAAGACCTGAACTTGTAGTTCCAACTCTGTTTCATCTTCAGGCATCAGGGACCTCATGTGACATACAGGAAGGCTGAATCCAAAGAAAGCTTAAGAACCTTTCTGGCTCATAGACCTCTTCTGAGGAGCTCTAGGCTCATCACAAATGAGACAGCATCCCCTCCCACCACGCACACACATGCACACATACACGTGGAGTAAATTCTAAATGAGGAGAAGCCCTTTTATTCAGCACATTCTATATACCAGGCTGTGCTCAAGACTTTACAGATGGTATCCCTAATCATCACAATAGCCATGCAAGGTAGAAACAATCTCAGTTTTTACAGATGAAGAAATCTATAAAATCAGCAGTTATAAATGACTTGCCCAAAGCCACAGAGCTACTGTGTGGAGGAGCCAGGATTGGGCTGCAAATACATCTCCCCTCTGTGCCGCTCCTTATCTTAAGGGGAGCTTATATGAAGGGGATGACCTCCACCTTTTCCAGGGGCTGCAGGCCCAGGATGAGCCTTCTCTTCTCCCTCACAGAAGCTATATTAGCCAGCACATTGCCACATGGAGTCCAGCCCACCTTTTCTACTTAGCCCCTCCAGCCCTAGGGAAACAGGAAGGAGTTTTGCTTCCCATGTCACAGGGCACTAGATGAGGTGCATGAAGAAACTCCCCCTGGACCAAGTAGTAGACCAGGTACCAAGCCAAGAAGACCCACATTCAAATGTTCCCACAGCTTCCCACCACCTTCGCCACCTGGCCTAGCATCCTTGCCCCTGCTAAATCTTGTTGAGGTCTTCCTAGCTTTTCAGCTACTCCCCCTCCCCAGACTTCTGCTATTGAATGAAGATCAGTTCTTCAAAGGTCACATATCAGTTATACCTGTGCTCTAAAAACTTCTGATCCGTTCTAGACTTTTTTTTTTTTAATATATTTTATTGATTTTAGAGAGGAATGGAGAGGGAGCGAGAGATAGAAACATCAATGATGAGAATCATTGACTGGCTGCCTCCTGCACACCCCTACCAAGGATCAAGTCCGTAACCCAGGCATGTGCCCTTAGCTGGAATCGAACCTGGGACCATTCAGTCCGCAGGCCAATGCTCTATCCATTGAGCTAAAGGATGAATAAGTGTTTGCCAGATGAACAGAGGTGAGAAAGGCCAGCAGCGACATCAGATATGCAGAAGCATAGGGGACATGAGGCAGCCTGTTATACCCAGGGACTGACAGCTGTTCAATACTGCTTGACTACAGAGGAAAGTGAGAACAAAATGGTGGAGATGAGGTGGGTTAGATAGACTGGGGCCAGTTAAAATGCCAGGCAAAGGAACCTAGATTTATTTGGTAGATCATAGGGAGTTTTTAAAGACTTTAAACAAGAGAAACATGGTCAGGTTTTCACTTTATAAAGTTCTTATTCGTAGCCGTGAGAGGAAAGAAGGAAGAAGGGACAGCGAGGAGACTATTGAAGAGTTCAGAGCTGGGAGGCCTATGTAAAGCAGGACCCTGGGACGAGGAGAATTACCACGAGGTTACTGTGCAGGGCTCAGTGACTGGATGGAAGAGAGGAGGAGCTAAGGAGACGAGTGGCAGGGTTTCTGGCCTGGTTGACTGGACTGCTACTGCTGCTATCAGCTGAGGCAGGAAATGCAGGAGAATGAGCTGCAAATCAGAGAGGAAAGTGGGGAGCTGAGGTTTGAAACTGTTAAAAGGCAGTGCCTGAGGAACAGCCAGATGGAGTTGTCTAAGTGGTCTTTCATCAGTTGGAGATGTATGGAGCAGAGGTCACCAACCTTTCGGACCTCATGGACCACCAGTGGTCTGCGGACCACCAGTTGGCGACCGCTGGTCTGGAGCATAGGAGAGGTATGGATTAGACGTAGAGATTTAGGAATGGCCTAGCCCAGAGAAGGTAATGGAAACTAAGGGAAGGGATGAGATCTCTCAACTGGGGAGAAGATAGTATGCAGAGAAGAGGAGAGGGCTAACACAGAGCCTGCCACCCAGCAGCAAAGAGCCAAAGGGGGAATTGATAGAGCAAAGCAAGAGACTGTGGTTCATTATGGGGCAGAAAACACAGATCAGACACGGTCCCTGCCTCGGTGTTCATGAATGAGTGGGGCAGACGGGAAACAAAAGCAGTTCAGGGAACTATGGTGAGTGCTGCACTGTGAGAAGCAAGTGCTGTGAGTTGTAAGGTCGCCTAATCCAGTCTGGGGCATGAGGAAGCCCCCCACACACACACCATTCCTACCCAGCCAGTTCTCCCAAGCCTGGGCCCAGAAAAGCAGAACTTACTGTTCTCTTCTAAGCACCAAGCGGGACTAATGCTGGTCACATCCCAGGTGACCCCAAAACCTATGGCACAGGGCCACAGTCCCAGGAAGAGACTGGCCCAGAAAAAGCCCACCTCTGCTCCTCCCTTCAAAGATACAAGCTGTGGGAAAACAGCCCATGGAGCCCTGGGTGAGCATTGCTGGAAGGTGGGACAGTCCCTCTTTGGGACACATCTTTATTGCCAAGGACTCTGAGGACAGAGACATGAAGTCACCCTTGGGTCAGTCATACGCTGCACCTGCTCCCCTGATCCACCTGGGACCCATCCTCAGGCCCAGTTATGAGCACAGCTTTGATCTCTCAGAATGAAATTGCCACTGGTTATTGCTCTGGCCAGTGCAGCAGTGTGTGCACTCAGTCCTCAGAAATGAGCTCCGCGAACACGTAGTGTCATAGGCATGCACCTGGGCGGGTCACACACTCATGCAGACCTGGTCCCTACTAAGGAGTGGATTCTCTCATATTGTAACCTATAAACAAGAAAACTGATGGCAAAAGCTCAAGAAGATCCATTTGTGCCCTTGCCTTCCCCCTGTCCCAGGGACAGGAGAGTGAGCAGGGACTTAGATCATGAGGCCCCTTTTGAACAGACCCCTTGGAAATAACATTTTCTGAGAGGTCTGTTCCAAGGGCTAGTGTAAAGTGAAGCTGAAAAGCACCCAGTACCATGGCCAGCATGCAATAGGTGCTCAGGCAATGCACATTCCTTCCCATGTTGCCTATGAGGACCATTGCTTTGGGAGTTTTGTTTTTTAATACTTTTATTTCGTTTTGTTATTTTCTATTTTTTAGTGATTTCAGAGAGGGAGAGGGAAAGAGATATAGAAACATCAGTGATGATAGAAAATCATTGATTGACTGCTTCCTGCATGCCCCCTACTGGGGATTGAGCCTGAAACCCAGGCATCAAACCTGGGACCTTTAAGTCCACATGCTGACGTTCTATCCATTGAGCCAAACTGGCTAAGGCATCATTGCTTTGGTTTGGGAAGCAAAGGCTGACTTTGAGTCAGGACAACAGGGAAAGGAAAATGCTTGAGGATTGTTTTCCAGCTGCTGAGGCTGGGACAGGCAGGAGCCCACAGACCTATCTATCCCCCAGAGTCATGTTATCTGGCCTGGTAAGAGCTATGCTTTGTCTGTAACCCAGAGGAAATCCCAGTTTTTTCTCTCCAGTAAGGATCAAAGGATGCAAACTATATTTGGCAGAATTCTGAGAAAATTTTACTTAGGGAAAGAAAATTTCATGGAGCCTCATTTATCCAGCACTACTGGTATGACCTCAGTAGCCTGGTGCAGACGGAAGGTGTCTCTATGATCAGAGTTTGAGCCCCAGCTGTAGAGTTTACTAACTTTGAGACCTTGAATGAGTTACCTAACCTCTCTGAGCCTCAGTTTCTCTGAAGGGGTTGTGAGAATTTAGACATCCAGCACACAGACACTGAACACTTACTATGCACCCAACACTGTTCTAGGACTCAGTGAGAACAAAATCCAGCCTCTACCTTCTTGGAGCTTCTGGTGGGTAGAGTGTAATATACACAGACAACATTAAGCAGGTCCCTATGGTGGAAATGCCCATTAGTGTCCACTGTTGTTGCTCCATCAGTGCCTCTCAGTGAGGCCCTGATCATTGCTTTTGTTCTAAATGCTGCAAAGTGCTGCTGTTCGGTGATAGATGTGAGATTTGCTGAGTGGATGGAGCTCCTTGCCCTTGAACTAAATGACCTATACTTTTCTTTTTCTTTTTAATATATTTTATTGATTTTTTTACAGAGAGGAAGAGAGAGGGATAGAGAGTTAGAAACATCGATGAGAGAGAATCACCGATCAGCTGCCTCTTACACACCCCCTACTGGGGATGTGCCCACAACCAAGGTACATGCCCTTGACCGGAATCGAACCCGGGACCTTTCAGTCCGCAGGCTGATGCTCTATCCACTGAGCCAAACCGGTTTCGGCAACCTATACTTTTCTTATTCTTCTTTCTCTTCCTCTGCTATTGCTCCTTTTTTCTTTCCTTGGTGCATCTGTCTCCAGTACACATTTCTCTTTTATGTCACTTCTAGAAAGAATTAAAGATTCCAAGGAAACTTCCCAAGTTGTTTAAAGGAAAAACATTATTTTCTATCCCTCTCTGTTTTTATTTATTTTGATCCAACAAATATATATGTGTTTGCTACAGTAATAACAGTTCACAACACTTGCACAGTTTAATAAAGACAGATTTGGGTAAAGTAAAAAATGAATTTGCACAGCTTGGTTAACTAAGGAATATTCTTCAGTATGACCATATCTCATTTTCGCAGTGGCCCAGTGAAATGCCCTCCTCTGAACTATAGCAACTTGGGCTTCCCCTATGATAACACCTAATGCACTGACTTGTCATTACTGGTGTCCTAAGTGTCACTCCTCTAGACTGGGAGCATGTCCAGGGCTCAGTGGGTACCCAGTGCCCCAACAGAGGGCCTGGACTAGCGTGGGCTTCCAGAAAAGTGTGTTGGATGGGTGCATGTAAAATCAAGCTGGCTTCTGAGTGCCAGGGATAATTAGGCACCCTGACTGTTGACACAGCAAATGCATTCTCACTGCAGGTGCTCAGTATGTGAAGCGTTTGAGCCCAGGACACTGAGCACTGCAACCAAGAGTGAGAACAGAGCGCAGAGAACCCAGGGAGCAAGCAGCTGATTCTGACAGTGGATTTTCTCATATTGTAACCTATAAACAAGAAAACTAATGGCAAAAACTCGAGAAGATCCATTTGTGCCCTTGCCTTCCCCTTGTCCCATCCAAAGGCAGGGACGGGAGACTGAGCAGGGACTTAGATCACAAGGCCCTTTTTGAATAGACCCCTTCTCCAAAAGGGGTCTGGAGAAACCTCCTGAAAGAGCTGCTTGGTCTTGCAGTTCCCTAACTGTGCAGTCACTGTTCATTCCCAGGGTCGGCTGACAGACGGAAAAGGGAAAACCATCGACTGCAAGGATGCCATCTTCATTATGACCTCCAACGTGGCCAGTGACGAGATCGCACAGCACGCACTGCAGCTGAGGCAGGAAGCCTTGGAGATGAGCCATAACCGTATTGCTGAGAACCTTGGTATGGCACATAGCCTGGGCTGTCTAGGCAACTGGGAAAATGCCCAGATCACCAGCACATCTCTTGGGGGCAGGGATGGCATTGGGTCCTAGGCCTGGTGAGGGTCCTGGTAGATTCCAAGCACCATACCAGATAGTGGAGGGAGACTGTGAGACAGTGCCCTTACTTCCTCTATAAAGCCCCGGGTCTCAGGTGACAGGAGCGTCCCAGACAGAGGAATGGATGGAACACCCCAGGTGAAGGACCAAGAAGAGGCCAGGGTCTTGGGGAACTAAAGGGACCCTTACTTAACAGATGCTTTGGTGCAATGAGGGGACAGCAGGTCAGAAATTATGGAGATAGGGCATATCTTTCAGGCTACCTTTCAGCCCAGGAGCCTTCCTGGGTAGGTAGGCTGGAGAGTGCTGGAAAGGAGGAGTGTACCAGAAAAAAGGCCATATCAGTCACCTTTCCAATTGAAATTGAACTCTCCTGCCACCTTCTTCCAAGTCAAAACTCAAATTTTGGTTTTGACTCTCTTCTTCTTTCCTCCCTTTCTCACACAACTTCCACTGTAAGAACCCCAGGCTTTGTACATAAGAGCTGGAAGGGCCTCAGAAAGTACCCAGACCAGTCCTCTCACTGTTCAAGTGAGAAGACCCGGCCAAGGCCCACAGGGTTACACAGCTCATCAGCGACAGGACCGGGCTCTTTTCATGGGTGGGGTCAAGGGGCTGGCCCACCTCCCAAACCTCAGTGTGGGGAGTATTCAGTTTATGATTCTGTTTCTACAGGGGATGTCCAGATTAGTGACAAGATCACCATATCAAAGAATTTCAAAGAGAATGTGATTCGGCCCATCTTGAAAGTAAGAGGTTTTTGTCCTTCCCACTGAAACCTTGGGTGGGGGATCCCTTAACCTAAAGCTAGGAAAGCCCCCTATCTTCTCCGCTGGGGTCCAGTAATTTACCCCTTCTCGGTCACTGAACTCACCCCTTCTCTGGCCCTGCAGGCTCACTTCCGGAGGGATGAGTTTTTGGGACGAATCAATGAGATCGTCTACTTCCTCCCTTTCTGCCACTCGGAGCTCATCCAGCTAGTCAACAAGGAACTGAACTTCTGGGCCAAGAGAGTAAGAGTGGGGACTGCCCATGGGTGGGGATGGGATATTTCCCCACTGAGCACATCACTCCCAAAAGGTGGAGCACAGTGGTACGGGGCCAGTGGCCCTAGGGCACATAGTCTCTCACTGGCCCATGAGTGATGAGAGATGGAAAGCCCTAGGCCACATGCAGACACACTCCTGTCTAACCTTTCTCAGGCCAAGCAAAGGCACAACATCACACTGCTCTGGGACCGAGAGGTAGCAGACGTGCTGGTCGATGGCTACAATGTGCACTATGGCGCCCGCTCCATCAAGCATGAGGTGAGCATTGGTCCCTCCACGCCTCCCTCCCTGCTACCCCTAGACCCAGTCCCTGGGCTCCCAGCCTGGAATTGTCCCTACCCAGAACAGATGCCCTTATAGAATAAAAAGCACAGGATGATCAAATCAAACCCTGTTTTGGAGGGTAACCCCTACCAGGATGGGGAACTGTATTGGAAACCTTAAAAGCTGACCTTGAGTTTTTAGCACAATCCTGCGAGCAGATGAGAAAACTGAAGCTCGGCAAAAGCAGTAAGCAGTAGAGGCTGGCCCCCATGCCAAGCAAAGGCACAATAGTAGGTGATAGAGCCTGACCTTCAGGCCACAGGCCTGCGCAGGCCTCAGCAGTGACGACACTTCACCTGCGACCTGCAGGTAGAACGCCGTGTGGTGAACCAGTTGGCAGCCGCCTATGAACAGGACCTCCTGCCAGGGGGCTGCACGCTGCGCATCACTGTGGAGGACTCAGACAAGCAGCTGTTCAAGAGCCCTGACCTGCCCTCGCCCCAGGCTGAGAAGCGCTCACCCACATTACGGTTGGAGATCATCGACAAGGACAGCAAGACCCACAAACTGGACATCCGGGCACCACTACACCCTGAGAAGGTGTGCCACGTCCTCTAGCACCTACCTACCTGCCTAGTGCCCTCAACGTCCAATAAAGGCCCCTCAGCTGTGGCATGACAACTGACCTACCTTCCCCTCGTACCTCTTGCTCCTCTCCCCCAGCCTCTTACCTCCTCACAGCCCCTGCAGGGCCCTCCCCTGTCCCCTTTGTTGTGGGTCCAAAGCTTGCTAACAGTCTCCAGGAGGAGCTGCCCCTGCACCCCTTCAAGCAGAGAGGGGAGGAGGTTCCTTATCTCTGTCCTTCAGCATCATCTCCATGCCCCATAGTCTCTGGAACTTGATCATGTTCTCTGGAAGCTCAGAAGTATGGCAGCTAAGAACAGATCTGGCTATTAGACAGGGGCCAGACTATGACTGCCACCCTCTGCTGGCCCTCAGAATGTCTCCAGAGAGTGGAGGAGGAGCACAGAGGCCCAGGCACAGAGGTTCTGCAGTTCAGGCTGTAACTACCTCTTTCCCATGCCCTAAAATTCCAAGGGAAAGGGACCCGTAGAACCCTTCCCCCTTCCACTGCCATATCACAACCACTGTTCCTTCTCACCCTGTGTCCTGGGGGCAGGCCAGACCCAGTGTCTTCAGCCTTGAAACTAGCCAAGGTAGAGCACTTCTAGGAGGAAGGCTGACTGAGTCACCACCTGGCCTATTCTGGGACTCAAATACCAAACGACCCCAGTAAGCTCAGCACTGAGCCCTCCTTCAGGAGATAACAGCACAGACCCGAGGGAGCTGTCGGGGGAAATCTAGAGATCATGGGGTCTGCCTCAGCCTGTCTACACTGCTGTCCCTGCTAAATTAGCCTGGAGTCAACAGCTCCCCCATGCAGTCTGCATCTTAGTCACTAAGCAGAAGGTCTGCACATCATCCCCTTTGTTTCAGCCTCAGCTTAGCTGAGCATAGCAAGGCCTACTGTGTCCTTGGGCATCATCTGCAGGAGCCCCCAGTGATGATCACCCTCTCCCTGCAGGGCCCTCCTTTGGTGTTAGCGCATCTCTTTCAGAAAGCAGAAAATGGGGGCAGGAATCAAAGTCCCTTGGGTGATGGAAGGATGTCATAACAATATGGTGGGTGTAAGCCAGGACGTGAGCTCTAACCATCATTATCTAGCCCTTCAAGGAGCTATGTCTGCTGCTCCCTACCTCGGTGGCTGCTGTTCTTTTTTTCCCCTTAAAATATTTTTAGACTTAAAAAATATATATATATATATATATATGTGTGTGTGTGTGTGTGTGTGTGTGTGTGTGTGTGTATCTATATCTATATATATATAGATATATAGATATAGATATTTTTTAGACTTAATGGAAAGTTGCAAAAATAATAGAATTCATGTAGAACCTCCACCTAGCTTTTCCTAATATTTACATCTTATAAAACCATGGTATAATTATTAAAATTGGGAAAGTAATATTGGTACAGTTCTACTAATCTGTGGACATTCAAATTTTTCCAATTCTGCTGCTGATGTTCTTTTTTATAGGTTCAGGACCTAAGGCAGGTTCAGGGTCCTGCCTTGCATTTTGTTGTCATGTTTCCTTCATCTCTTTCAACCTGTGATAGTTCCTCTGTCTTTCTTTGACTGTCATGACCTTGACCCTTCAGAAACATCCAGGTCAGTTATTTTGAGGAATGTCCCTCAATTTGGGTTTATCTACTGTTTTCACATTATTAGATTGAGGGTCTACATTTTTGGCAAGATGAGGACTCCAGGAAGGACTGTGCCCTTCTCAGTCAGCTAACTTTGATCACGTGGCTGAGATGGTATTCGTCAAGTTTCTCCACTATAAAGTTACAAATTCTCCTTTGAAATTAGGAAGAGTCTTGTGAGGGGATACTTTGAAGCCATGCAAATGCTTTATTTACCCTTAGAATTTTGCCTGCTGATTTTAGCATCTATTGATGGTCCTTATTTTTAAAATATATTTTTATTGATTTCAGAGAGGAAGGGAAAGGGAGAGATAGAAACATCAATCATGAGAGAGAATCATTGATCGGCTGCTTTCTGCACGCCCTACACTGGGGATTGAGCCCACAACCTGAGCATGTGCCCTGACTATGCTGAACTCTCCTGTTCATAGGTCGACATTCAGCCAAGCCGTCTGGACCCATTGATGGTTCTTGCTTATAGCAAGTATTAATGTTCTATTTGCCTAATGATGACTTTCTGTTTCCTTATTCTACCTATATTTATTAATTGGCATTCTACTGTAAGGAAGAGCTGTCTCTTTCCTCCCCTTTATTTATTCAATAATTTATTTATAACAGTATAAACATAGATATTTGTTTTTTCCTATGGTTTATAATTTGATACAAACAGTTTCTTTTGTTGTTCTTTTAGGCCTAGATTTGGCCATTGGGAACTCTGTAAAGTTGGATCCTGTGTTGTTTGAGCATTGCCCCCATCATTTTTGTTGTTGTTGTTGGTTTGTGTTTTTAGCCCTTCTTTACTTTCTGGCACCACAAATATTTCAAGTTCACTCATATTTTTCTTGTCCCAGCCCTGACATCAGCCATTTCTCCAAGCAGTACCTGGTTCCTTTTATTCAAGAATGATACTTAGAAATCAAGATCTGGGCATTAGGTGTATTCATCGCTACTAGAGTGTCATTGCTTCTAGGACCTTTCAGCACACAGAACTATGAAATATATGTATGTATGTTTACGCATGCATCACACACATCTGAATTTATTGCCGTGTCTCTGTATCTGTATATTATTAAAGAAACATGAATTCATATTGATACCTACAGTTCCTATCCAATATCACATAGTTTGTGACTGCCATTATTATGACTTTACTATTCTTACCCTGCTTTTCCTCTCCTGCTATCTCTGTTTCTTCTCTTTTCATTCTGTTTTATGTTAGATAAAATTATTTTGCCTGGTGTCAGTCCCTTGGTTCAATGAACTATGGCCATGAGCAGCAGGCATAAAACTCAAAACCAGGTAACTTTTAAAATGTTTTTATTTATTTTTAGAGAGAAGGGAAGGGAGAAGGATAGAGAGATGGGAACATCGATGAGAGAGAAACATCATCATTTAGCTGCCTCCTTCAAGGACCCTACTAGGGATAGAGCCTGCAGCCAAGTGAGGTATATGCCCTTGACCAGAATCAAACCCAGGACCCTTTAGTCCACAGGCCAAAGCTCTATCCACTGAGCCAAACTGGCTAGAGCAAAACCCAACTAACTTTTATATTAAAAAAAAAAACAACCCACTGGAAGAGACTGAACATAAACTGCGTCTATGGATGAGGACAGTGGGGGGTGGGGCAAGGGCAGAGGGTGGGGTGGGAACCTGGTGGAGGAGAGCAATGGGGGGGAGGGAGAAACATTTGTAATAATATGAACAATAAAAATTTATTTTTAAAAAAAGAAAAGAAAACCCACTGGCCATCTTTCTGAAAAGAGGGTCTGGAACAGAGCAGAGCCTCAGTTTCTTAGGAACTTAATTATCACTTCTTCTGTGGATTCTTGTTAGACCTCGGGGTGATGTTGGGCCCTGTCTTCTACCTCCTTGGCATTCTAGGCATCAGTATTCAGCTCACTTACTTGTTTTATGTCTTTGTCACCAGAATGTGAGGTCCAAGAGGGCAGACACCAGTTGTTCAGCTCACTGTCCCTATTCATAGCACCTGGCACAGTGCCAGCACTTGCTGGATGCTCCAGGTATGTGAGTGAATGGTGGGCCCTGTGACAGGCACAGGTCTTCACAGTAGGTCCCAGGATAGAACGGTGTTATTTGTTCACTGAGCATTCACTTATTTGTTATGTGCTTGTGGCCAGGCAGTAGGACTTGCCAGGAGGCACCCCTGGAGCAAATGGGGCAAATTAAGACCCAGATACCTTATTGAATATTGTGAAATGAGTAACACTGGACAGGGAAATAAAAACGTAACACCAGCACCTTTATTGTTCAAAAAAGAAAAGCTCAAAGCTGTGTAGTGATGGTTTTATAAATTTTGGGGGGGGAAACATTTAAACCACAATAATATAGGAAATAGACTAATAAAGATAAAACCTGAAGCTAGCCCTAACCAGTTTGGCTCAGTGGATAGAGTGCTGGCCTGTGGACTGAAAGATCCCAGGTTTGATTCCGGTCAAGGGCATGTACCTTGGTTGCGGGCACATTCCCAGTAGGAGGTACGCAGGAGGCAGCTGATTGATGTTTTCCTTCCTCTCCATAAAAAAATCAATAAAAAATATTTTTTATAAAAGCAAAACCTGAAGTTAATGAAGTAGGAAACTAAAAGTAATAATAAAAGATAAATAGAAAAATGATTCTTTGAAAACACCAATAAAATAGATAAAACTGTCTTAGCCTAATAAATGGGAAAAGAACAAAAGAATAAAACAGGATTAGGAATGAGAAATCAGACATAACTATATATATATATGGATATATGGGAGAATTTTAAGGAGAATTTTAAATAATTGTGGGAGTGTTCTATGGCAAATTGAAAAACAGGCAAACATAATTTTCTAATAAACACTGACCCAAGGTATTGTTTGAATGGACAAGTTAATTAACAAAGAAATCAGAAAGGTGATTAAAATTTTATGCCTTTTTTAAACTTTCTTACTGATATATATATATCAGTGCACTTATGATCTATGCACTTTTCCATATATATATATATATATATATATATATATATGGAAAAGTGCACTTTTCCATATATATATATATATATATATATATATATATATATATATGGAAAAGTGCATAGATCATAAGTATACAGGTCAATTAATTATCACAAAGTGAACAGCAAAAAAAAATAGATGCAGTTTTTAATTAATATGTAAACTGCATCAAACCATGGGAAAATGTGAAAAAATCCTCCATAGATTTTTCTTTTTTATTTATCTTTTTAATTCTCACCTGAGGATATTTTTCCATTGATTTTTAGAGAAAGCGGAAGGGATCAGGAGAGACAGAGAGAGAAACATCAATGTGAGAGAGATATGTCAGATTGATTGCCGCCTGCGCGTGCCCCA